ATGTTGGAGGTTAGAAATATACGATTTGAAGTTTGGGACAGAGAAACTTCTATTTGAGGAGTTTCAAGATATTCTAACATCCTATCACCAAACATATCACCCCTGCGAGAGACTCAACATAAGATAGATCTCATCTAAGCATTAGTGTTGTCCAATAGAACAACTACAGTATGCGACCAACAAAGTATGAGTTTCAAAAATAAGTTAAGGATCTGATGACTCAAGGATAGACCGTGAGAGCATCAATCTGCGTCATACTAACATTGATTGCAATAAAAAAGAATGGGCCATGGAACATGCGCATTGACAGCGAAGCAGTGAACAAAATTACCATCAAGTATCGGCTCCTCATTCCAAGATTAAACTACTTATTGGATCAGTTGCATGGAGCTAGAACCTTTTTTTAGGTAGAGTTACATAGTGGACGTCATTGTATTCAAATGAGGTATAGGAATAAAAAAAAGATTGCATTGAAGGCACGAGATGGACTATATGAGTGAATAGTCAACCCATTTGGCTTAATGCTCTGAGTACCTTTATGAAGCCGATGAATACAAATTTTTGCACTTTCATTAAAACATTTATGGTTGTGCACTTTGACGTATATTGGTTTATAATCACTTAGAGAAACAACATTTGCAACACATACAATAAGTTTTTGAAGTTCTTCCAACAAAGCAGTTGCATGGCTACTCGAAAAAGTGTCATTTTCTAACATAGCATGGATGCTTCCTACAATATATAATTTGACATTAGAGAGACCCCTAAAAAATCGAAGCTATTGAGAATTGGCCCAACTCACAATCGTTCTCTGATAAGTCAAATTCAGGGTTGACTTATAGGAGATTTATCAAAATTTTAGCTTTATCGTAACACTCTTGACATAGCTCCTTAGATTCGATTGATTCACTTGGTCAGATAAAGCATAGGCTAGCCTTGAAGCTTTAAAGCAATAAATTACTCAGGTTCCTATTCTAGCCCTTCTCGACTTCAACCAAGTGTTCGAGGTAGATTGTGATGCCTCCAATGTAAGAATTAGAGCTATACTGATTCAAAGTGTACACCAAATTGCCTTCTTGAATGAGTTCACGAGAAAATATTTTACCTAGGACGGAAAGCACAATGCTATAGTGAGAGCCCTCAACCATTGGAATAATTATTTGTTGGCGAATGAGTTCACTCTCTACATTTATCACAAGACTCTAAAGTTTTTTAATAGTCAGAGAGGGAAAAAGGGAAGACATGCAATGTGGGGACATTCCTCTCCTATTTTTCATTTGTGCTTAAGCACAAAGCTACGAACCAAAATAAAGTCGTTGATGGTTTGAGAAATCATTATATATATATATATATATATTTAAATTGCACTATTTACATTCTATGATAGTTGAGTTTGAACTACTAAAGGATTTGTATGCCAATGATGGGGACTTTCGAGATTTGAGTTCAATATCAAGAAAAAAACTCTTTCCTTGGTGAAACAGAACTTTATTGGCCAATGATGGTATATAACATGGAGAGACATATCAAATAGTGCGGAGAATATCATTTGGCTAAAACTCGAACCCCTCTTTTGATTCCAAAAGCATTGTGATTGGATGTGATGGACTTTGTGACGGGCTTGCCTCAGATACAGTGAAATAATGATTATGTTATGGTAGTGGTAGGCACATTGTTTCTCCAAAATAACACACTTTGTACCTTGTTACACGATGATGGATGCCTCACACATTGCAGACTTGTACTTCTAAGAGATCGTCCGTTTTCATGAAGTGCCAAGACTATAACTTTAAATAGTGATTTGAAGTTTCCAAGTCACTTTAAAGAACCTTATGGGGGTGAGTAAGATACAAAACTTCAGTTTAGCTTGGCATTACACCCTCAGACAGATGGACAAATGGATGCGATAAATCGTTGTTTGAAAAATCTCCTCAGATGTTTCGTGGGAAAGGATATCAAATTGAAGGATTCGATCCCCACCTAAGTTGAGTTCGTTTATAATCATTCTACTGGACACAACTGCTTTATGATAGTTTATGGGATGAATCCCTTCACCACACTAGAGTTGATCCCTATACTCCTTATTATTGAGCTCACTGCTAATGCTGAAAACAAAGTGAGGGAGATTCAGGCCTTCCATTAAAAGAGGAGATTACTAAGTAAATGCTAAATATCAAAAGCAGGCAAAAAAAGTTCAAGAAGACCCAATGCTTTAAGGAAGCTAACTTCGTGTGGATCAAATTGAAGAAGGATTTTCCTGCAAGTTCATTTGAGAAACTTAAGCATACAAAATTGAACTATTTGGAGATTATCATATTTTCGCTATGAGACAAGTTGATCCCTATACTCCTTAAACAAAATTCTCACTATATTGCTTGACTTGTCATCATGATACGAGAATCTAGAAGCTTCCAAAGAACGTGGTGCCTCTCTTATTTCAAAAGGATGATGCAGGAGTATCCCGCCCAAGCGGGACAGGACACGAGACAGGGTTTTCTGTCAAACAATATAGCGAGAATTTTCTAACCAGTGTGGCCACCGGTCCTTATGAACACATAACATTTCTTTTTTTACTTTTTAATTAGAACTAAGGTTTCATTGATGCCTTGGTAAAAGTATAATGCATAGAACCTACTTTGAAATCTTTAGGATTTTAATTTCTGGAATAGAGATTGTCCGAAGTGCTATATCCATTGATCTTTCTCATTAAGTGTACCTTAAGCCTAATTGGATTAATGAGCTGTTTTTGTTGAGTAAAGTTGTGGTATACTGTAATTCTTTTACAGAGATATGAGAAAATTATATGTTTGGTATGAAGAATTACAAATATAATATGAAGCATGAATGAATTTGAAGTTTAGACAGTAGTTCATTTTGGATGAATTTAGAAATTGACAGATTTGACCGAATTTGAATTACACCGTTCATGTAAAATGCAATAGGCAAGTTGTTGCCCCCTCGCCCACGCCCGCCACCACTATTGCTTGCCCGCCGCATGCCACTCGCTGCCGCAACACGCCAATCGCTGAAACCATCGCCACCGTCGTCGGTTGTTTGCCACTGTCTGCTGTCCTCCACGGTCATTGCTGACAGTGTACCACCGCCGGTCGTCTGCCGCCCATTGCAGCCGCAGCTCTAAACTGTCACAGTTTCCCGTCATCGTCGCCACCCGTAGTCGTCCGCAGCAGTTGTCGGCCACCGGTGCCTCCTTCACCGACTATCTACTGCATCGCCTACTAGCCCACCATTGCTGCCCGTCTATCAGCCCCTCGTCTCCGCCGGACAAAAAAAAATATTTTAAAATACATTATTTTAAATCTACTTCAAAACAGACAATGGATATATATTTAT